AAGGACGTCGCCGCCTTGCCCAAAATGCCCAAACAAGCCAATGGTCCCCCCTTTCGCTAGCATCCAAAAACGGTTGAAAGGACAGAGATCGACTCCAAGATCGAGTGGTTCTCTCGATCATATCCGGGCATCGTGTCTTCGGCTCGATCCGGGTCTCGATCATCATCGGCGAATCGAGTGTTGCATCTGATCTCGGTATCGATGTTCGGCTGGATCGAGTGATGTACTCGATCTGACTCTCGCTCTGCATGGCGTCATTTACGTCCGTACTGATTGATCGATTGCTCGACTCAATCTCCGTCTCGATCATTCTCCTTGGATCGCCTAGTTGGCTCGATCTTCTGGTCGATCAACTCCCAGATCGACCGGCCATACTCGATCTGCTCCTCGATCTCTGGCCCTTAGCATATTTCCGAGTTCCCACGAACTGCTACATCAGCCTCAACACGTCCACGAACCTCCACGACTCCAAAGCAGACAGAATCAACCTGAATGTGATGCAAAATACAAGGAAAATGCTTATGCTGATGCAAGAATGCTCTAGGACCCTAAGTGATGCAATCTAACCTAAAACATGATACAAATGCATGAAAAGCTAACTAATGAGTATGCAAAATATATGCAATATGCAATAACATCAAGGATGCAATGAGGCTATCAAAACTAAAATGCAAACCAGGTTGTAGTACTGTGTGCAAGAGAGTGTCAATCCATTCCTAGAAGCTAGAAAGGTCAGAGAGAATGCAAGGGCAATGAAAAGCTAAGCAAATGACAGACGATTTTGTAAAAATCCTAAAAACTATATGCAGCAGCCAAATGGAATGCAAAACTATTTTAAAATTACCAGGAATGATTAAATTACCATGAGGAACAAACATAATAATTTAAATGCAAAGCTGTGAATTACTAAAAATCGACTAGTGGATCGACCACAGGATCGACCACTAGATCGAGCAACAACGATCAATCTCGTCTAAAAATGCAAGTGCAATGAAACTAATGACCAGGATGCTACAAATATCAAGCGAATGATTGACGAAGATGTAAGAATGCTAGGAAAGAAGGGTCTAGGGTTGAGATTCATGGTCCAGGGTTTCAAGGGTCCAAGTTGGTATTGAAAACCTTAAATCGACTCACTTTGTGAGATTCCCTAAGCCTTGAAAACGAAAACAAGATCCATCTGTGGCTTTCGGTATGGATCACTCCTTCATCCTCTCCTCCAAACCCATGGCTTCTGGTGGAAAGAGAGGTTGAAGGGCAATGAACTCAGATTTCAAACACACGACCTAACTAGTCCCCTAAACTTCCATGGCTTTTGGGAAAGGGTAACTAGTCTCTAGGATGTGATTTTCAGAGATCTCTGGATCCTGTCAAGGTAAGAGACCTCTCTGATGATAAAGATCTTGGCGTGAGAGTCTTTAAGCCTTAAGAACTCAACATCCTAGAAGAGAAAGCCATTAAAAACAAGAAAACAACCAACTTGAAAACCCCTTAGACCCCGTGAATCCTCTCAACCCCGAGATCCAAATGAAACTACTCGCTACACATGAGAATAACCGAAATAAACATGAAAGATGAAGCGATGAACATGAAAACGATTACTTAAAACTTAACGATTCGAAATATTCAAGAACAAAGCTCAAGGTCTAACAATGGCAGATCGTCTCCAAACCAGAGAGAAAAAGCATAAAAAGATAAGAATGAAAAATTATCCTCGTAAAAGATCATCGCCGCCTTCTCAAATGGGCCAAAAACGCTCGATGGTCCCCCCTTCTCTAGCTGCCAAAATCGGTTGAAAGGACTGAGATCGACTTCGGGATCAAGCAGCTCTCTCGATCACTTTCGGACATCGTGTCTTCTACTCGATCTGGGTCTCGATCTTCTTCGGTGGATCGAGTGTTGCATCCGATCTTGGTATCGATTTTCGGTCGGATCGAGTGGTGGACTCGATCCGGCTCTCGCTCTGCATGGCGTCATTTAAGTCCGTACCATTTGATCGATTGCTTCACTCGATCTTCTTCTCGATTAATTCCCTTGGATTGCCTGAGCTACTCGATCTTCTGGTCGATCTCGTCTAGATCGACCGGCTGTGCTCGATCTGCTCCCCGATCTCTGGTCCTTAGCAAGCATCCGTTGTTCCCACGAACCTCCATACTAGCCTCAGCACGTTCACGAACTCCACGACTCCAAAGTACCCGGAAACAACCTGAATATGATGCAAAATGCAAGGAACATGCGTATGCTGGTGCGAGAATGCTCTAGTACCCTAAATGATGCAATCTAGCCTAAAGTGTGATGTAAATGCATGAAAAGCTAACTAATACGTATGCAAAATATATGCAATATGCAGTACTATCAATTTGCTTACCACTACCATAATTGAGATACAGAGGATGGAGGATGGAGGTGAGATTGATGGCAAGAGAGGAAGGAGAAGAGATTCATGGCTAGAGAGGAGATAGAGGAGAGAGAGGCATTTTTAGAAGGAGAGAAAAACTTTATTTTTAACACAATTATGTTAAACTCTCCTTTTATATGATGGAAAATTTTCAGTTAAGTAGACTTCTTCGGTTTTAGAAGTTTACTCGAAAAGTCTACTTCAGTATATTTTTTCGATTTCGATTCCCGCCCAATTTGTTCCGATCCCCGCTACGTTTTTTTAAGTCTACTACAGAAGTCTACTGGGGAAGTCTACCCGAGAAGTCTACTGCATAAGTCTGTTTACCCTAAACCCTAAATCAAATTTTTTTGATTTAAACGAGTATCAAAACATTAAATTTTTTACCATTTTCACATTTTAAAGTTCAAATAACAATGATATGGACTCTAAATATATCATTAACAAAACAGTAAACTATGATTTATATAGAATTTAGGTTTACCCTTATCATACCCTAAACTTTACACCTCAAACCCTAACCCTTTTGAACTTCAAACCCTAACCCTTTTCAACCTTATACTTATGAAACTTATAAATTGATTTATTTTCATGAAATAATATTTCATATAGATGCCAATTGTCTATGTTTTAGTTTTGTTTGTATCATAATAATTTTTTATAATTTTAATAAATAAAATTTAAGATTAAGTTGTCGAGTAGACTTCTAAGGGGTTGTGTTATCACTAGTAAAAAAACTGCCTATAGCCACGAAATTGTTACGGTCATGTTGTGGTTTTTTTTAACATAGTCACGTAAGAGTTATGAAATAGTCACGAAACCATAAACTGTGACTGTCTGTAAATTTTTCGTGACAAAATTAGTCACGTATTTGTTATGAAAATGATGTGGCAAAAATAGCCACATTTTAATCACATCTATTTTGTGGCTTATAAAAAATAGCCACATATAAGCCATGAAATAGTTACAAAAATAGAAAAAAGAAAAAATATGACATTTGGTGACATTTGCTTACAAAATTAGTCATGATAAAATCAAAAAAATGTGCTATATTAAAATTTTGTGACATTTTATTTGTAAATTCAATTTTTAAAATATTATAAATAGATCTATGTTATGTTAAATCATAAACTCTAAAATCAAACCATAAATCTTAATTAAAATCAAACCCTAAACCATAAACTCACACCATATATATCCTAAACTCAAATCTTATGTATCCTAAACTTAAACCCTATTTATCTTAAACTCAAACCATAATCTGAAAATTAAACTTCAATTCATAAACTTTCAATTTATAAACATAAATATTAAATCATAACTCGAAAATCAAACCATATACCCTAAAACCAAACCCTAAACCCTAAAATCAAACCATACATATCCTAAACTCATACCATATTCTGAAAATTATAAAAATTAAATCTTAACTTTCAATTTCTAAACATAAATATTAAATCATAAACTCTAAAATCAAACCCTAAACCCTACTTTCAATTTCTAAACATAAATATTAAATCATAAACTCTAAAATCAACACTAAACCTAAAACCCTAAACCCTAAAATCAAACTCTATATATCCTAATTAAACTCAAACCACATAATATGAAAATTATAAACTTAATTAAAATCTTAAATCTTAAATTTTAAATTCTAAAATTAACCTTAAACTATCAATTAATTTGGTTTAATTTAGTTAAAAAATCAATTAATTTATTGGTTCAATTTAGTGAAACCAATTGATTTGGGTTTTAGAACCCAATTTTTTGGTTCCCACACAAATTTTTGTTTTCCCACAAATTAATTTTGGTTTTCCCACACATTATTTGGTTTCCCGGTTTCTATTATGCCTACGAACACTTAGCCAAATTTCTAATTTTCTCTCTTCCTCTCTTACTTTCTTCCTCTCGCCGTCGGCGCTCTCGATCTCTTCCACCATCGCTGTCGTCTCTCTTTCTCTCTTCCTCTCGGTTCTACTTCTCTCTTCCTCTCTTCCTCTCTTCTTCTCATCGTTGGTTCCATTTCTCTCTTCCTCTCGTTCTCTCAATCCGATCGACGAATCCTGATGGCTCCTGGCCGTAACCGTGGAAACTCAGTCACCGCCGACAACAGTTAGGGTATGTATTTGTCGCTTCTTCCTTTCCTTTTTTTCTCTTGCATGGTTAATCTTCTCAATACTGTGTTGGATTTACAATTAGGGTTTCGATTGGGTCTTCTTTGTTTGAAAATTATTCATTGTTTTGGATTTGCTGCTTGAGATGATTATTTATGCTAATGTTAGTCTTTGAGTAATGGATTTGACTAGTTTCTCAGTTTGTAACTTCTCTATTTGCAGTCTGAAGCATTTCTCCCATTTTGATTTTGTTCTTTTGGGTGTAGATTTGATGAAATTAGCATTTAGGTTTTGTTAAATCTCGATTTTGATTTTACAATCATGTGAATGATTAATGCTTGAAATGTGTTAACTCGCGATTTTGATTTCTCGCTTTCCATTTTGATTTTACAATCCTTTGATTTCAATGATTTGAGTTGTTCCCTTTGTTTGTTTTTTCCATTAACAGTTTTTAAGTGCTTCGAGTCTTCTTAGTGTTATCATTCTTGATGTATCAAGTAATAGGATTTACTTGTTTGCTGAGATCATAAGTGCTTTGAGTCTTGGATCTTCTTATTGTTATTATTCATGATGTATCGAGCGCTAGCATTTAACAGTTTTTAAGTGTTTTGAGTCTTGGATCTTCTTAGTGTTATCATTCATGATGTATCGAGTTTTATATTCGTTTTTTTCTTAAGTGTGTTTACTTGTTTTCTTATAGCCAATCGTTTCTAACAGCCGTTTTATTGTTATCAATGTGTGAGCAATGTAGGTCATGCCATCCCACCAGGAGCTGTGAGATCTAGAAGCTCATCTGGTCCTGCCATGCCACCAGGAGTAACAAGTGCTGCATCTTCAGCTCCTAATAACCACACTCGCATGACTCTGGAAGCATTAATGAATGCTCCTTCCAGAGAACTTCAGCCACACCTCCATCCGAGGAAACTCAATGGCGCTTTATGGTAAGTCATCTACAAACTCAACGTGCTTGCTCTGCAAACATTTGTTAACTTCTTTCTTCTGATAATGTATAGTATCTTGATTCTTATTCCTCTTATCTCAGGTTTGGTATAGACCCCTCTGTTCACAAGTTTATCAAAACAACTTGGCAAGCTTACTACATGGGACCATGGAGGAGCTGGAAATTCGTTCCTGATGAGAGGAAAGATAAGTGGTGGCATACTTTTGTGGTAAGCGCTTGTATTACGAAAGGAAAGAGAATATTTTGGTTACGAACTTACAGCTACTAATATTTCTTTTTTAATTGTAGCAAAACTACTACTGGGAGGCTCGGTTTAATGATGAAGTGTACTACAAATGGAAAGCGCACACACAGACTACGATTTGTGGCAAAATTAGCAAGAAAAAGAGAGAAAACCAGAAGCCCAAGTACATAAGTGAAGCTGACTGGACCACTCTGCTGGAGTATTGGTCAACTGAACCGGCAATCAAGAATAGTAAGGATGCGGCTACATACCGCACATCAAACCCCGATGGAAAACGGATGCACAAGCATTGTGCAGGTCCTCAAAGTTTTTTGAAGATCGAGTATGATATGGTAAATGATTTTCCTTGTCTTTTTTTTTTAATCTTTATGATGTCGTATTTTCTACTCATGTTTATATTTCTGTTTTTCAGATGGTGGAGTCTGGTCTTGATGAACCACCACCTTACACGGAGCTTGTGCGAAAGACACACACACGAGATGGAAGTTTCATTGACAGTCGAGCTGAGACTCTTGTCCTTGAAGTAGAGGAAGTCGTAGCACAGATGGAAACTGATTCTGTTAGCCAAACCACCTCAACTGCTGCAACTCCTTCTCGCCTTCTCCTTAACCAAGAATTTCTCAAGGTACTCACTCATTCTTCTAGTGGCTTGTTTTATTGACAGTTGTATCGTTTTGACTTGTTGCCATTTTACTTGACTTGTATCGTGTACTTGTAGCCATATTACTTGAGTTGTATCATATACTTCTTGCCATTTACTTGAGTCGTATCGTTTTATTGACTTGCTGCCATTTACTTTAGTTGTATCATTTACTTGTTGCCATTTACTTTTGTATCGTTTTACTTCAGTCGACTATTGCTGCTTTTATGATATTTGTGCGTTTATGATATTTTCATTGACTTGCTCCTTGGCCTTGTCTTGTGACTTAGTGACTTGCTGCGTTTATGATATTTTGATTACTTAGTGATTTAGGAACTGTTTTTACAGCAAAATTTGTGTTTACTTAGTGATATAGGAATTGTTTTGGACTTGAGTTGCCATATTAACTTAGTTATATTGTTTGTTTTTGCAGCGAAGTAAGACAAGCCGAGGCCGAGTATATGGAATAGGCAGTGTGCAGCACAAGGATTTCATTCCTACTGAGTCAGTCCATGCATCTCTTAATCGCAGCATTGATACGGACATGCGTATGTCCAGTTTGGAGACTAATTCTGAAGCTGTCAAGACCAATGTCGAAACTCTCAAGTCAGACATGACTGAACTCAAGGGAAATGTGGTGGCAATGAAGGATGAGATGAAGGAGGAGCTAGTGGCCACAAGAGCTGCACTATTTGCATTCCTGGAAAAGTTTGCAGACTCTCGGACTCATGCTGCTGTGCCTACACCTTCTCCTCCTCCAGCTTCTGTTCCTCCTAATACCACAAACCCGGCTCAATCTTCCACACCTACACTGACTAAAGACAATCAAGCTCAATTAGATAAGTGGTGTGCTGCTTATTTAGGAGAACAAATCTTTTATTCTATTTATGAACCTGTTAAAGTTGAATGCAGTATAAGTGTGCTGCTTGTTTGAATGTTGTTAAAGACAAAACATATTTAATTTATGTTTATGTATGATATTGGTTTTATATTTCAAATTTCAGATTTATTGCTTTTGTTATTCTTCTATAAAGGTTTTAGAATTACAAATATTATAATTAGTTACCAAAATCAAATATTAGTAATTAGTCACAAAATTATTAATTAGTCATATAGCCATAATTTTAACCACAAAAAATAATGTGGCTTTTTAGTCACATATTAGCTATTGTATTTTCGTTGCAATATTAGTTATGATATAGTCACGAACATAATTGTGGTTAAAAAGACACAAAACGTTGTGTGAATAGACTGTGACTAATATTGCCACGAAACGACAGTGACTAATTCGTGACTATTTAGCCACAAAAAGCCACGAGCCATATTTAGTTACGATCCTATAGACACGATTTTTTTTTCGTAACTTTTCATGACTATAGAACTATATAGTCACGGTTTTTTCGCCTTTGTCACATAATTTTCCGTAGCTATAGGGAGTTTTTTTACTAGTGTATTTTCTAATTAATTTTTCTTTCTACATTTAAATTGATTTATTTGTATGAAATTTTGTATTCTATACATGTCAAATATATATGTCTTACTTATGTTTACCAATTTTTTTTTAAAATTATTTATTTTGTATTTTCTAATTAATTTTTGTAAACTAATTATGTAGTGGACTTCTTGTGAAGTCTACTTATGTAGACTTCTTTAACAGCCTACAAAAGTAAAATTCTTTATAAGTCTAAAATAATAGACTTCTTACGTAGACTTCCGAGAGATAAAATCGTAACTGTGGCGAACGTTTTTTGCTTAATCATAAAGGATTGAGCTGTAATTTCTTTACCACTTTAGGTTAGTTTTGCCAAACATTCAATAGATGGTCTAGACTTTTTGAAAAATCTAACTTTTAGGTTACTTTCAGCAATTCTCCCATATATCTTTGAGTTGCCACAAAGCAACTTCCTTTTTCCATCTATTCTATTAAAATAGGATCACTTTAGATGTTGAAAGATGATCGATGTGTTATATTATATAAACTAGACTAGGATCCGTGTATACACGGTTTTGAAAATTATTTTAAAACTCGTAAACAATAAATTAAAAATAAAAATAAATAGCTTTAATTATATTTATTTATGTATTCATATTTGATTTTCTTTAAAAAAAATGTTTATTACACGTGATAAATTTTGATTAATTGACTTATATACATTTTTAACATAGACTCTGATCTCTATATACATTGGTTTATATGAACTATTACGTACATAATCCATTAAAAAGAAACTGAACATGAAGAAAGTAAAAAACAAAAAATAGATCATTGTGAACATTAAAAGTAAGATTGAGAATATTTTCACAAAACCACTTATAATATAATTGATTAAAGAAACTGGCATTCTCTTTACTTCCATGTTTACTTTTATATTTTTTCACTATATGACTGAATGTGAAAAAATAAAAATAAAAAATTAGATCACATAAAAAAGTAAGATTGAGAATAATTTTGCAAAACTACTTATAATAGAACTGATTAGAGAAACTGAATTTTTACGTTATTCTATATTTACTTTTATATTTTTTACAAGTATGACTGAGTATGAAACTGTAAACATAAAAAAATTAGATCACTGTAAACATAAAAAAATTAAGTTTTGAAAACATTTTTGCAAAAACACTTATAATATAACTGATTAAAGAATTTGGTTTTTTCTGTCATTTCATGTTTACTATTATATTTGCTACAAATATGATTTCTCTCTAGCAAACTCTCATCGAAATCTCATTTGGTAAAATGATATCTGAGCAAAATTGTTTTTTTCCCTCATTTTGTTTCCGCAATTCTGATTATTTTCGTCGCTTCTTCAGTTTTTCATCTTATCCGATTGATTCGAGTTTAAAAAAAAAGCAACTAAATAAAAATATAATTTTTTTTTATATATTTATAAAGATGTGAGTAATATTTTTTTATTTTCTTTTAGGATTAATCTTTACTTTTTTTTTCCTTTTTAGTTGAAATATATATATATATATAACTTTTTTAATTTTTAATATATTCATTTTTCTTTTAGATATTATAGTAGTTATATTTTTCTTTTTATTATATTTTTATAATAATCATGATGATGTCAAAATATAATAATTATGATATTTCTTAAATTTATATTTTATTTTTAGTTTAATCGCGGTATATCCATTTTTTATACCACATTAACATGCATTCATCACTAGTTTTTGGTATTTAAACATGCATATTTACTTGTTCTTGTCCCATTTGCATACATTTAGGAGTTAGAGTAGTTTTAGGTGTTGCATTGCATTTTGTTTACATTTGAAGTTGCATCAGGTACAAAAGGAGTTTTTGGAGACCAAGTGGTGCAATGATTGTGTGCTAGGAGTGGAGAAAGAAGGAGAACAAGGGCAGATGGACCAATATCGAGCTGGATATCGAGCGGTCTTTCCCGATATGGCGTGTACTGGTCAGAGTATCGATCACACTACATCGATACAGAGGAGAGAAGGCGTACATAGGAGATATCGACCTGGGAGGACTTTGATACACCAAGGAGAGCCTGTACCAGGTATCATATCGGGCATCCAAGCCGATAGACTTGAGGCAGGACAATACCGACCAGTGTATCGAGCAAGGAGTGCCCGATCTGCCTTAGCTGAAGCTGGGTCACCCCGAGATGTCCCCTGAAGTCCGACGTATCGACCACCGTACCGAGCAAGGACAAGCCGATACAACTGAAGGGAAAACCAATATCGATGAGTGTATCGACCAGACAAGTCGATATGGGTCAGCCGAACCAGCCAAAACCAGTTTACTCCTGGTTTAGTAAGGGTTTTCATGTCACCCTATCAATAATTTAAGTCATAAAATGTTAAGACAATCTTATCTTTTACTGTTCTAAGTCTAAAAACCTTTCTCTTTTGAGTAATCTTTGTAAGAACCTTGTTTGATTTAGTGAATTTATGTGTTTCACTTAATCTATTCTTGTTTAATCTGCTTCCTAATCATGCTTAACCATTCTTTCTCTTTTGAATTTGTGGTTTTGACTATGGCTATTCGTAGTCCTTTTTAGGGTTTAAGATGGGGTATATTAGAGGGGTTTTAGGATTAGATTAGTGATGTCTTGTGATTAAAATGATTGTTTCCTCTCTATTAGATGTGCTTTAACACTAGGTTAGTTCTAGCCAAGCTTTCTTAGTATCTATGCTTTCTCTTATGCCTAGTAAGTGTTTGATGAAATGCTGCGTAGTCTTTTGGAGGATTTATCTTTTCTAGCCTAAGAAATTAGCTGTCTAGAAGGTATCTTGGCTTAATAGAATTGGTTTTGATTTCTTGTTAGTTTCCTAATCACTAATGAGAGTTAGTTCTTGATTAGGTTGTTAGCAAAGGGGTTTTCTCCAAGAGATTGGGTTAATCTACTGTGTTTGAATTCTATGCCTAAGAAATAGCATTGTTTGATGATTTAGGGTGTTGATATCCATGCATTTTACACTCTTTTTCTTCATGCAATTCATGATAGTTACGCTTGTGTTCATTCACATTTCTCTTAGTATTTGTGATATATCCATTCATATAGGTCTAGGATGCATTAGGATATAAATTTTCATATTCTTGCATGTTTGGAACATCATTAGGCACCACAGGTGTCACAGAAGAGCATGGAGAACAAGGAAGGTGATCGGAATGCCAAAGAACACGAAGTATGGGAGATAGACGTTTTTGCTTGGACCATCGAACAGTCGCAACAGTGCCAGACTGATGGCGGTTTTGCAAAACGGATGTGCGCAATGGTTTGACCCCGGAGAAGGACAGCAAAAGCCCGTGCAACAGATGTCTTCCACAACATCAGATACGCACTACGGATGAGCCTGATATGGAAGTCGACAAGCAAAGCACTTCATCGACGATCAAAACCGGACATGCAAAGAAATCTCAAATAATGCAAAGTCTAGGATCACAACAGCTAAGCCAATCCTCGAAGGTTTACGTTTGCAGCGGTCTGCCGCAACGGCTTTAACCCGACATGCGCTATCCGCCAAGAAATAGCCTATTTAAGGAGAAGTGGTCCCGTTGTGTAGGGTTTTCCTATTTTTCCTATAAATACGGCTGGCCACAAATAAAATCTCACATACACATTTGATTTATCTATATTTTTACTGGTTTATTTTCTGCACTTATTTTTCTTTGTAATCTGCCATTGTTGGTCGAGTTTCAAGGTTCGAACTTTTGTATTTTTGCATAATCAAAATTAGTTTTCTTAGCATTTCTTGTTTAAGTTTCAGTCTTTGTTTTCTTTCTGTCTTTTTCTTACTCTTTCGAAGCCAAGAACGAGTCTTCTTATCCCCATGGATTTCAAAGGTCTTCTCATGGTTCGTCAGTAGTCTTTTTGGGTTTCAGATGGGTTAAAAGGGACAAAGGAACACTCGGCTTCTATTTCTTGCTTAGTTTATGATTAAAGTTTGGATCTTTCTTGTTACTGTTTTTAATGCTTAACTTAGCTTGATCACCTTAGTTAATGTCATTAGACGTCTCGCATGAACATCACGTGTGAGGTTAGTTGGAACCATATTTAAGAGTATAACCCTTCCTAGCCCAAGATATAACTTGTCCAAGGGGTTCTACGGTTTAATAGAGACGGTTGATCATCTTGCTTTTCATGCTGTACTGCTTTGCGAGCGCTAGTCAATGGTGGCAAGGATTGCAAAGGAGGTAGGCCCAAACACCATGAGCTAGTTAACTTATTGATCTCTTTATCTAAGATTCATCACCAAAGATCAAGTCTTGGTGTGATAAACATCTTTGCTTGAAAGCACTAGTCCGGATGGTTTCCTAGTCCCATAAAAAGTCCATCTTGAACCCCTTATTCCTTAGAGTTTATATTATTACTTCGTTATTCACTTGACTAATAGTTTAAAATCTGCTTGCTTCATCAATTTGATTTCTATAATAGGTTTGAGTAACACTACCCCAAATCTTATTTAGACCTTAGTTTAATAAACCCCATCTTTTTAATCCGGCTTGACTTAAATGAACAAACATAACCGTATTGCATTGAACAACCTCTTAATAGATTGATTTGCCCATAGCGCTATA